GATTTTGAGATTTGACTTTGTTTCAAATTGATGCTCACTTTAGGTTTCCGATACAACGTTACATGGCAAAGTAACCAACTTCAAAGTTCTTAAAAAATATTCTCTCCGGTTTTATGTATATGATAGAGAAATAAGATTTTTTTTATTCTAATTATAAGATGCATCATTAATTTTTTTTCATAATTTTTTTTGTTTATCTTCCATTAAATTTTGGAGAAAAAAATATACTATTAAAGCATATGTATTTCATAAGGATAAAGTTGAAACTTATTGAATTCTTAAACAAACTTAATAAGTTTTTAAGATTTTTGTTGGTTTTGGGAAATAATGTTAGAACTTAGAAATTGCCTATAAATAAGATTAGAAAAGTATCAGTAATTAACATCCTTACATCTAACAAAAAAAATTGACTTTTTAATTTTGTCTTTCACTCAAATTAATCATCGCAAAGAAGTGTGTCCATAAATTACTATAATTTGGTGCAATTGAGGAGGGGTAATGTTGAAAAGAAAGTTAACCGCTCCACTTGGTTTCATACTCCTTTTGATCTTTATAAGACGGGGTTAACTAATTTTGCACTTATTATTAAGAAATGTTAGTTATACTTTTAAAATTGTAAAAAAAATTTAAAATTTAGTTTATATTAAGAATTGGAAGGAATATTTATAATTAAATAGAACTTTAGAACTCTGTCCCATAATAAATAATAGAGAAGAAGTTTGATAAATAGTGAGTATTTTTTTTTTAGAAAATTCCCACTTACATCACTCTTTGTCCCATTCCACTTCCTTCGTTTTTCCCTTTCATATTATTTATTATACTCGGCTTCAAATATTATAATGCTGCTTTTGAATTAATGGAAATTTGGGTTTTATATTTGGTCCAAATCTATTTCAAGTTATTTTTTTTATAATTTTAAAATTTTTTATAATTTAAAATTTTAATCATTTCAAATATTTTGTTCTTTTCGTATTTTTATTATTGATACTTTCACAACTTATGTATCTTTTTTCATGTATTTCCAATTAAAAAATAAAAATAAAATCATTATTTCTATCTTTTTTCTTTTTCTTTCGAACCTCAACTTATATTTTCCTTCATTTGATTTTTTTTATAAACTGCTCAAATAAAAAAATTTAAATATAGAGATTTTAAATGTGATATTTGAAATGTAAAAATTCAAATTCAAATTCCAAATCCAAATGCTACCTAAAAGAAAATATCTAGTTCACATCATTTGAGAAAGTTAGTTAAGTAAAATAATTATGCTTATAATTAAAAAATATGAACTAAATTATCCTTATAATTAATGAAACAAATTTGTCCAGTGAAAATGAAAATTAAATTTATGAGGGATAGTATGAGGAAAAAGCGATAAATGTTTCTTGAAATTTATAGTTTTGTTTATAAATAAAAATAAAAAACACATAATAGTTTCTCTTCTATTTGAAAATATAGGAAGTGTAAAATACTGTCTTTATCTCAAATTATAAGATAGCTTTAAAAGTATTTTATTGTTTCAGAATATAAAACAATTTGATAAAAATAAAATTTCACTAATAGAGGTTTTTTTCAATATGCCCTTTAAAAGGAAAGAGAATTAGAATGATTGCAATATATTAATGATTAAATGTGTAAATTTAAAATTATATTAAATGAAGAATATTTTTAAAATTTTATATTTTTATTTTAAAAAGATAAAGTTATAAAGTATCATTATTAAGTTCTATTGGTATGCATAATACTATCTCAAATTGTTTTATAATTTGAGATAAAAACATATGTGGCATTTTCAACTACTTTCATAAAGATTAAGAAAAGTAGTAAAAGAGTAATTTATATTGCCAAGTGTCATACATTTTATATCAACATTGATTAATGAAAAAATGTCTCATATTTTAGATTGAAAGAAGTAGTTCTGTAATTAGTCTTTTGTTTGTTTTCTTAGAATCTCATTGTTCCATCTAAGCCAGAGACTTGAATCGCACCCTTCTCTCAACTATTTTTCATGTACTTTGCAAGAACTACTTTTGAATTTTGCATAACTTTCGGTTGATAATAAAAACTGGTTTTGATTATTTTCAAAACAACTCTAAATTTTATTAAACAGTCTTCTGATAAAAGAAATTTTAATAACCTGAGAATCTAACACAGAACCTGGAAAACTTTTCTGAAATGTGATGTGTACAGCTTTTCTGCTTACTCATGTAAGAGTTACATCACAATCATGTTTGAAGTACAGACAGATATTAATATATATTTTTTAATAAATACTCAAATTTTAATTTTCATGTTGTAAATGACTGATTATTTTTGCTAGACTTAATATCTATTGATTGTAATATTAACTTCTTAATTTGGGTGAGTAATAAACTTTTGTGGTATAGTGAGAGGATTTTTAAAAAAAATTAATTTTTTTATATTTTTAAGGGATTTCCATATTTAAAAAAAATATCGCCAAAAAGATTCCATGAAAACTACCATGGGAGAGAAATATAAGATAGAGTGTTATTTTAGTTTAAAATCTAACACTAAAAACACGAGGCTTTTAGCTCAATTTGTAAAAAATTTGTGCTTCTGAAATTACATGTTCTTTTTTCTGTAGTCACCGTTAAACTTGAGGCCAAAAAGTCGTCTGGGGTGTCATGGTTGACGGATGCGTGTTTTAAAATGGTTCCATTATTTGATCATTTGAATTTTCTGATAAAATAAACCGATTTAAACAGAGAACGGTCCATTCAATTCAATTTATTGCGATTCCGGCTGTCTGCCAAAAATTTCGGAGATAACTTATCTTGTTTAACTCTCTTTGTCTCGTTATGATCAATCCTTCCCTATTCAGTTTTCTATTTCTTGCACTACTTTGGTAAATAAATTGTACCGCCTTCCATCTTTGCCAATGTTGACGTTACCCCAGTGAATCACAAATCACACAACTAAACAGCCATATTTTCTTCATTCTTAATTATAGGCAAACTTTTAAAGTCTCAGAAATGTTTAGGTCAATTTATAAAGAAGGTTTTGAGTTTAAACTTTAAAAATATAGCAACATTAATGTTAGAATTTTTATCTGAAACCATTCTAACTCAACTCAAATCAAATGAGTCTAGCCTCTTTAAAGTCTTATCAACGCCTTATCAACTTGATGTGAGATTAGCCTAAGATGCTAAATATTATGGATAAATATAGGACAGTAATTAGAAAGTAAATTTTTTTTGCAAGCTTGCCATTGACATGTTTTTTAATTTATACACCAGCACTTTACTACGGCAGCTAATTTCAGTTAATGATAAATTTGTAAAGTTACATAGTTTTTTACGAAGTTTAAAGTATCAACTACCCATCTTGACTGACTATAAAATTAATTAATTTTACCATGTAATTAGGATATGAGGGAATATGCTACAAAGTAATTCCACCAATGCTAAATATAGGAGTTAGTTGAAAGATTTGCTTTAACCTTAAATGTAAAATGTTAATCTAATTTATTTCTTAAATTTATAATTTTTTCTTTAAATGATTCCTATTTATTGTCCCATGCAAATGATAAAAGGAATATCTTAGAAGAAATAGCACACATTTTTACAAATAATCAATTCAACTAATACGCCTTCGCCTTGATCCAATATATAAGTTATTTTTTAAAAGTATAATTTAATTTACTTTATAAGTCATTTATTGATTGAATTATTTTGTTTTAAATTAAAATATTTCAAATTGCTCTTAAAAAGTAAGAGAGAGGAAGATAAAAAAAATAATATTATATGATTAATTTATTTTTATTTTTTACTTAAAGGTCATATTTAAAATTTTATTTACTATCATTCTTTATATTTTATTGTATTAATATCAATGAGATTTACATAAATAAGTGGAGTATTTTTAATATACGTATGTATATTAGTTGTCTGCCTTCTTCTAAAAGCCACCGGCTCTCAAAATTGAAATAAAAAAAATTGAGATTCAAAATTTGAATTAAGGAAGACTCGATCATATAATCATAACTATTTTACAAATCTGATAGATACGATAGTCCAAACCCTGTTCTCTCCACATGCTATTATTTCAGGCTCTGGGTTTCAGCTTATCCCAACGCTAAGATTGAGAAGATTCGAAAAGGCCTGAAATTTATTGCTCTCGCTTCACCATTTCTTTGACCATTCTTTTATCTCTCCCTAATTGGAAAGCCTTATAGGATCGTTTTCAGATCTCGCAGCAGAAACTGCAGCAGAACAAGGTAAAAGCATAGAATCATCTTCATTATCATTCATCATCGGGTCAGCGAGAAAGTTTTCTGGAATATCGCAGCGAAGATACGATACGGAAGAAAATAAAAAAGATCTCTTCTCTACTAAACTAAGAAAGACCGTAAAATCTCAGAACCCCATTTTTGGCGTATTATATCAGACCAAAATGATGATATAAAAAGAGCCCTTTTAGTAGGTATAGCTTTTAATGGCTCTTCTGATTAGCTGTACATTCCACAGTGAAACAGTGCGTACCCTCAAGTAATGAGAGAGTGAAAATTTGAGGTGAGACTTGAGAGTCTTCTTTTTTGTTGAAAAAGTTAAGATTTTGCAGAGAGCAGTGCAAGGGTTTGTAGTTGCACTCAATCAGGGATTTGAACCAGGAAAGAAACCCCGTAAACTGAAGAAGCTCACGAGATTGTCAGTGGGTATCTTTCATTTGTAGTACACGTTGCTCCAGAAAGTTAGAGAGAGAGAGAGAGAGAGAGAGAGAGAGAAGGAAGGTAGAACTTTTGCAATAATACGAATTGGCTCTGCGCTTTTTGGATGTACTGATGAATGATGATATTGGATTGGAGGGAGAAGTAGTGGGAGGGGAATTCGGCGCTCTTTCGATTTTTTTGAATTTGAGAAGCTTTCTCTTTCTTTCTCTCTCACTGTGGCTTTTTTGTTTTTCTTGCTTTTTTTCTCTTTGATTATTTATTACCTCATTTTCTCGTAAAATTTTACTGGTATTATCTTTGATTCTTTTCCTTATGCTCTGTCTGTAATTCTTGTCTGTTTATTCAAGAGGGAGAGCCTTTGAAGGTAATTTTTGTTTGCATATTTTAATGCTGGGGATTTTGAGGGTTTAAGTTCTCTGTTTAACTTTCTGTGACCTCTTTTTGTCTTTTTGTCTTGTAATGCAGTTCTTCACGAGGTGCTGTCAGAATTTTTATTTTTCATGAAAAGTTTAGATTTTTACAATTTTTTTTTTCGATTGATGCTTTTATCCTGATACTGTTTATTAATCTTTTCCTCCATCCATTCATTCCACAGCCTGCTCTGCCTCTCATTACTTCTCAGCTTGCAACCTGTAAAGATTCTGCTTGATTTATCAGAGACCCTTTCTTGCACTAAACTCCACCTCTTTGTCCCCTTGGTCTTTCAAACATTTGTAACTGTAACATTTGTGTCTTGTGTTGTGTCCATATTCGATTTGTTCACCTTCATGCCAGAGAAATATAAAAACCCATTTATCTGATTGAGTTTTATTAACTTGCCGCTCTCTCTCTCTCTCTCTCTCGATCGCGTCTCAGAAGTTTTAGGGAGAGAAGGTGAAATCATGGGGAAGGCTTCCAGGTGGTTGAAGGGATTGTTGGGGATGAAGAAAGACAAGGACCGGATCGACATTTCTGGCTCATTGGTTCCTGACAAGAAGGAGAAGAAACGATGGAGTTTTGCTAAGTCAGGCAAAGATTCCAATTCGGGAACCAGTCAACCGCGTTTTCAACCTCCTGATTCCACTTGGTTTGCATCCTACATGTCGGAAACAGAGAAAGAGCAGAACAAACACGCAATTGCGGTGGCCGCTGCCACTGCCGCTGCAGCCGATGCTGCTGTCGCCGCCGCTCAGGCTGCCGTTGCGGTGGTGAGGCTCACGAGCCAAGGCAGAGGAACTCTGTTTAGTGAGAGCAGAGAAAAATGGGCGGCAGTCAAGATTCAAACCGTTTTCAGGGGCTATTTGGTATGGGTGTTGTACTAATCATGTGTGTCTCTCTCTTGGAATGTTCAAAATCTCATTCATACTTCTCTTTTCTCTAATAAGTATGTCTTTGTCGGAATCAGTGAAAATGTTTTGCTTCATTCTTACTCCTCTGGAAAAAAAAAATGTTCTTCTCTAATGAAACAGTGTCTTCGTCCTCCTGGGTCAATTTTTTTCATTTTTCTGGTATATTTCAGGCGAGGAAGGCTCTGAGAGCTTTGAAAGGATTGGTCAAGATTCAAGCACTTGTTAGAGGCTATCTTGTTCGAAAGCGAGCTGCTGCAACACTCCACAGCATGCAAGCTCTGATCAGAGCTCAGACTTCAGTTCGATCAAAGCGTGCTCGTCGTTCCATTAGCAGAGACAATCGAAACCAGTCTGAATTCCGAGCTAGAAGATCAATGGTGAGGGCTCTCATAAACCCTTTCGTTTCAGGCACAACCCGACATAACATTGCTTTTACAATCTAAGTTTTGAGGTTTTGTTTTTCTGGGCATGTAGGATCGATTTGATGAAACAAGAAGTGAAATCCACAGTAAGAGGCTATCCACATCCTATGAACAGTCCTTCAATGGGTATGACGAGAGTCCGAAGATTGTTGAGATAGACACGTACAGGACGCAGTCGAGATCTCGGAGAATGCCAGCGACGACGACGCTATCAGAATGTGAAGAGGAAACACCGTATCAAACGACGCCGTTTCCTGATAGTAAGCATCTTCAAGACTTCGAGTGGTGCTTCACCGGCGACGAATGCAGGTTCTCCACAGCCCAGAGCACTCCCCGATTCGCAAGCTGCATGCGTGCTCACAACGCCCCCCCGACGCCGGCGAAGAGCTTCTGCGGCGATACGCTTTGCCGTCCGTACTATAATTTCCCGAACTACATGGCGAATACGCAGTCGTTTAAGGCAAAACTGAGGTCGCACAGTGCCCCGAAGCAGAGGCCAGAACCGAAGAAGAGGCTTTCTCTGAATGAAATAATGGCGGCAAGAAACAGCATAAGCAGCGTCAGAATGCAGAGATCGTCCTGCTCTCAAGTTCAAGAAGAGTCATGGAATTTCTGAGCCCTTGGGATTTTTCTCTCGCTCCTTTTTTTGTTTTTGTTTCTGTTAATTACAAGTGTTATAGTGCCTTATAGAATGGATCAAAGAGTCTGCATGCTTATGTACATTCTCTGGAAAGAGTTTTCTTTTACTTCCAGTAAACTCTCGTTTGCTTCTGATTCAAAACAAAGATCAAATTGGTTTTCTATTTGAATTTTCTGTCACGACAACACCACATGGGGGCAGTGGCGAGTAATTTGTTCCCCATGAAATATGGACATGGCCAAGATTATGTTATTTGTATTTTTGTGCAGACATCCGTCAATTCAATTGCGAACTGTGGTATTAAATATAAATGCATAAATATGCATGCATGTATGTATTTGTTTGTGATCTTAAAATTACGTAGTAAGTGTAAGGTGTGCTGTCACGGAACAAAGGTGAATAATGCTGGTTGTGTGTGCTTTAGGAGTACATCTGATTTATTTATAAATTATTTTCACTAACTTCATTAATATCAATATAATAAAAATATAAAAATAAAATTTAATAAGATTATAAATATAATTCTTAAAAATAAATAAATATATAATATTATTTTTTTATTTTTAAAAATAATTTAAAATATTTTATTTAAAATAAAAATATTTATCAATTTAATAATTTATAAAGTATTACTTCACCAATAAGTGAACAACAGAGAGCAAAGAACATGCGAGTCGAGGGTAAATTACTTTTCTATGATGTGATGAATCAAGTTGGAATCTTCCAAAGGAGATGGTTTACAATTAAGTTCGATCAATAGGATTGCATACAATTTTTTTTTTAAAAAAAATGCAACCCAGAAAAAAATCAACAGTGCTCTGTTTTTAGTTGAACATTGCGTACAATGTGGAAGATGTGCTATTACCGAACGGTACACAATGCTGGTTGCTGTGGCGCTTTTAGAATGAGTGCTAATGTTATATACTGTAAATTGAAAAGTTTTAATTACAAATAAAAATTAAATTTTAAATATAACTATCAATATTTTTAACAGAGTTTTTTTAAAATTTTTATAGAGGTTTAACTGTTATAAATTTTTTTTTTAACTTTACTGTCTTTCTCCGGAAAAAAATCAACAGTGCTCTATTTTTAGATGAAACAAGAGGAAAGAGCGTGAAGAATAGCTTTTGAAGGCGCGTCCAAAGGAAGTGTCTGTGTGGCACGGGGGAAGAGAACAAACACGTCTTCAGAAAAATTTTCAACGTTAAAGCAGGGGGGTAAAAATTAAAACTAGAGATTTGAAATGCAAGTGGGGTGCCATTAATATATTCAAGAGGTTCCAGGTGAGGTGCAGGCGAGGGTATAAGTAGACAGCTAATTTAGGAGCAGACGTGATGGGTCACTGTAGCTCCAAGCTGGGAAACCTATGCTTCAAAATAGGATTGACCTCACGTCAAGATGGAACGTTTTGAGACAATATATCAAGCAAACTACCAAAGCTTGATTTCACCAGCAAAGCAGAAAAGGACAGTTTTAGTGCGGGTGTTGAGTTTGAGCTATGAAAATGCAATATTATTGGCACAGCTTTCATTTATCGATTCGATCTAAGATTAATCTGATTTCTAGTTAAAACTTTCAATGCATTGGAGAGAATGTCCGAGATATTAGGTACTCTATGCAAAACAACTGGTATCATAAGACAATTTTTTTTAAACAGTATTGGTTATAAAATATAATTTTTTTAGGTCTTTCAAAATACAAGTATAATTAATAAATTTTTTTAATTGAAACTTAAATCAATATGAAAAAACTGCATGTTTATTTAAAGACGATGAACTAATCATTGACCAGTGTAACTTAATTAAAAGTACTTCCTACACTTTTAATTATTTTACATATCTAAGGTTAATTAGTACTTTCATTTTTATTTAAAACTTTAAATCATGATATAATTATATTAAATATTTTCATGTTAATTAATAAAAATTAAAATTATATTAAATAATTTTAATTATTAAATTTTTTTATATATTTTAAATTAAAAAGTATTTTTAACAAAGTACTCCCTCCGGTCCTATTTATAAGTCATTTCTACCAATCTCATTAATACCATACAATAAAAGTATAAAGAATAAAAGTAAGTAAAATTCCAAACATGTCCCTATATAACAAATCTAAAAAAGTAATATCCTATTACTTTTTCTCTCTCATGAAGGGTAATTTTGAAAATACCTCTCAAATATTACTTAAAAAGACGCACGTAATTTATAAATGAAACTAAATATACCTTTTAAAATTAAACTTATAAATGAGACTGGAGGGAGTAACCTGCAAATAAAATGGGAAAAAGTATCTTACAACACAATGAGAATATATTATGCACATACAGAATGGGGATGTGGCGAGTGGATGCACGCGCTGTGGGGGAATGAAAGGGTTGAACAAAATAGGGGAGGGGCCATGATTAGGGTTTTATTTTGGGGGAAGGGTGAAAAGACTAAAGAGACATTGGGAGATTCTGAAAATTCGCGTGAGATTTTGGGTTGCAGCAGAGAAGGATGACTCATTCGCCCCGACGGGTTTTGGAAGACATCAGCTCAATTTCCGAGGGTAATTTGGGTAATATGTCTTATTCTTTGACCGAATAATTATGCCCTCATTCATACATCATCGTGGATATTTCGTTGCAGAGTGCCCACCTCCTCCGCTCTGTTTTCGATGTTTAGTTATCGTTTGTCCAATAAATTTTATATTCCCCCACGTTAAAAAATACTCCGTTCCCTTAGGTATTTTTAATTAAATTTTATTTTATAATAAAATAATTATTTATTTTTAAATTAATCATATCTTTACATATTTATTTTTATTAAATATCTTATAATAAATATAAAATTATTATCACACTTAAAAAAAGATAATAATTATATTTTAAAAAATAAAAATATCTTATATTTTTTAACATCCAACTACTCAAAAAATATTTTACATTTTGAATGAAGAGAGTATAAAATATTTTTAATTAAATTTTATCTTTCAATAAAAAGTTAATTATTTTTAAATTAATCATATATTTTTATATGTATCCTTATTAAATATCTTATAATAAATATAAAGTTATTATTAATAGGAAAACTTAAAAAAGGTAATGATTTACATCTAAAAATTTAAAATTTTTATATTTTTTAACATACAATTTTTTAAAAAATATCTTATTTTTTAATGAAGGGACTATTCTATATCATATATTTGTAAAAAATATGAGTAAAAAATTACCCCATTATTTCTAAATATGCAATAATATACTCAGTCTTATTTATCAAATATCTTTTAAAATAATTTTTCATTCAAAATATATAAGATCTTATAATGATTAAATCAACTTTTTTTTAATTTCATCCCTTCTTAATTAGTTTAAAAGTATTTAATGAAACTCTTTGGAAAGATTTACTGTCTCAAAATATAAAATATTTTAAAAATATTAAGGTTTTATTAAATAAGTTATTTTAATATCACCATTTTTCTCTTTATTTAATATTGATTAAGTATAAATTTAAGATTATTAAATGAAAGATATTTTTTAAAGTTTACGTTTTTTCAAAAAAAAAAGGTTGTTAAATACATTTAATAAGGATTGTTAGTATGTAAAATTTTATCTAAAAATATCTTATGATTTGTGGCAAAATGAATATTATTTAAAGTTAAAGATAAAAATAAAAGTATATATTAATTTTTATGATGTTAAAAAATAACTTTTCTTAATATATATACTATGAGTAAAAATGTCTTATAATAAAAAGATTCAAGAGAGTATCTTTTTACTTATAATATCATATTAATTATAGCATCTTTTAAGCAAACTATTGATATCATCAACCTCATAAATTTTACTCTAGATATTCCAGCAACTCCATTTACAACTGACTTCTAACATTTTCAATAAAATAAGAAAAAATTTAAAATTTATTAATTTGATTTGAAAATAATTTTATATATTTTTCTTATATTAAATAAATCCTTAAAAAAATTCTATTTTCCTATATTAATATTAAATAGGGGTAAAAGGATAAAATTATAAAGAATTAAATGGATCATAAAATAGAATAGGAGGTAATATTTATTACTTGAAGTAAACAGGGGGATTGAAGATGTATTCACATGAAAATTTAAATAAATCATAGTACGAGTGTTGTTTATGAAATAGATAGTGTAGCTTAATATATTTATATATCTTATAAATTAATTTATTTGTAAAGTTAAATAAAGATTTATTATATATTCCCTCCATTAAAAAATATAAGGTATTTTTTAAGGAGTTAAATATTAAAAAATATAAAATATTTTTAATTTTTTAAAGCGTAATTATTACCTTTTTTTAAAGTGCTATAATGACTTTATATTATTATAGAGTATTTAATAGAAATAAATATGAAAGATAGAATTAGTTTAAAAGTAGGTAAAAACTTTATTAAAAATAAAATTCAGTTAAAAATACTTTATATTTTTAAATGGAGGGAGTATGTCAGTAATCTGAAGGAGATAATAAAATAAGTTGGTGTATTTAAAAAATAAAAAAATAATAAAAAGAAGCATCTGTGCTTCATTACTGCACAGTGTCTCTGATTAAAAAAAAAGTAAAATATTTTTTAAAAGAATCAACTCCAACAGCATAAATAAAAAATATATGAGCATGACAAAAATGCAAATAAAAGAGTAAAAATAAAAAACAAAGTGAAATGATAAAAAAAAAATACCAGTTTAAATTTTGAAGGTAAAGTTTAGAATTGTTTGGAGGAAGGAAGAGACGTTAAGAAGAGGCCAAGTAGGGATTTAACTAATAAGAACCTCCTTAATTAATACAAAAAAGCAATATCGCAGATAAGCTTGAGATTCAAACAGTGATAATTAAATAATGATAGATTAATGAGAAGCACTTTGTTCAAGAAAATGGAGCGGCTACTAGTGCAGTTGCCTTCGTCATCCGGTTCAGTTCCCAAAAACATAAACAAAAATATTAATCTGTTATTACCTTACAAACATGTTACTCCCACATTAGTTTATTAATCTTCACTAATTAATCCAAATCAAATCTAACATTAGTGTCTCCAGCTTCCAACGTTGTGGCTTTTGAATTTTGAAGAGCAGCATCTCCTTGGATTATTAGCTCAATCCTTGCCTTTTCCACATTTTACTCGAATCCGAATATTCTAACAACATACCAATAACGTGTTTTCATGTTTTCCCAATACATGTAAAAGAGTTTGATGCTTTTGGAGCAACAGATTTGTCACATTTGTCAATTTATGAGTTGGAATCTCTCTTTCCAGTCACTATATACCCAAAAAGTTGTTATGAAAAGAAGTTTGTATAAAAGCGAACTTAGTATTGCAAAAAAAAAAAAAATCACTATAAAATCCAACACACTTTTAGTCAAGTCAAATGCGTGAAACCAAACAGGCAAACACATAAGGAAATAGCATATTTTGTTTTAGTGTTCGCATAAAGTTTTATTTTCTCCTCTCCAATGAAAACTCGAGAAAAATAAGGGTAAAAAATATATCTTTTCTGTGGTTTTCTTCCAAAATTTTATTTTATCTCTACTATTTTCTCATTCTTAAAAAAAAAAATTAAAAGTCTTGAATCTAAGAGGGCAAATAATCAATTAGTAAGTGATTATCCAGCAGTTTCAAGTTTAAACTCCTAGTATACACAGTTGCCTTCATTGCTAGATTAGAATGAGCTATAATTATATTATAATATAATGTAACTTTTGAATACAGGATGATTTGATTAAAAAAAAGTTGAAATCTCATTATTATTATTTTGCATAAAATTTTATGGATTTCAGACATTCCATGAGTAAGGTTCTTCCCCCATGACGCGAATGAGAGAAAATGACTAGTTTACGAACTTCAAAACTTTTTTTCTTTCACCTCTATCAAAGTGTTCCATATTTGAATCTGAACAGCTTGTGTGGACCCATTTAATTGGGGTTTGGACTTGTGGGTAAGCTCTTTGAAGTTAGCACTAAATCTACTTTAATCATCTCCAAAAGTTAAAAAAAGAAAAAAAAGAAAGAAAATATAGGTTTGCAGACCCTTTTCCCTCTTTAACCTTGTTCTGCAGGTCAGATTATCCAAAACTTCTGCCTTTTCAAGATTCATTAATTTGAGGAAGGCTGAGTTAAAAGATGGTTCCCCAATGACCAATGCACTTGTCTATTTTCAGAACACAAAAAATATATATATTACTGTGTGGTACTTACCTATTTGTACTTTTTATAGATTGTTAAGTTTTTGAAGCAAATTGATTGAATGTCATGTCGTTTAGCAGCAAAAGGAAGTTACTGGGAGATGGGGGGTAAAAGAAGATAAATTATGGATATTTCATATAGGGCGAAAGTGGATAATGCATGTTTGGTAGCTGGGAAACAACTTCTCAGGAAATTATTGAATATGAGGCAGAATATTGCAGAACGCTGCCAGCAAAATTTAAATTTTAAAACTTGTTGATTTATTCATATACATAATAATACTAATAATAATGAGTCCTCAGCCACGAGCATGGATCATTATCATGCATGCAGCATTGATTTCGGATTTTGAACTGTTCAAACTTAAATTTACGCCATGTGAAGTGAAACATAATAATTAAAGTCATTGTGCAGAAACTAATATATATTTATTGTACGTTTCAAGTTTTGAAACTGAAGTTACAAGGAGAGGGAATATCTCAATACAGGTAGTTTTTTGTTTTAATTTCAAAATAAAAGAGCGAAATTCATTTGGGATTCGTATTTTCTTCGTTAAATTAGATTACTCGATGAAAAGAAGTTTGCTTGTTTTGTTATCATTTTTTTAAAATAGATGAAGTATAAATATTCACATACACTTACATATCTATTTTTTCCCCCCATAAAAAAAAAGAGCGAATAAACCTGTTTATTACATGGAGTATAGAATCTAAAATTTCTCCCTTTCAAAGGATGCAAGGTGCCACTGAACTAAAAGGCTCTCAATCAGTCTGCTTCTTTTATTAAAAGAAGCCCGACTTTGAAATTTAAAATGTTTGACTAAGCTTCTAAAACAATTATTATTGATTCTAAGTGGTACGAGAAATGGGGGTCTCACTACTGTCTGTAGCTAGAAGGAGCTAGAGTTAGTTGTTCAAGTGGCTTAGGCTTAGTGGGCAGAAGCCAACTGCTTAAATTCCTCCATAGATAACGAACCCAAAAAAAAAAAAAAAAGAAAGAAAGAAAGGAAAAGAAACAGGTGGTTTTCTTGTAAAAAATGAAACCATATATATCACAAAGTTTTAAATGTAAAAATAATATTTTATTTAATTGATCTTTATATGCTTTTGTCGCAGTTCTTTAAAAAATAAATCTTTGGGAATCATGGCTTGTAAAATTTATGTTCTGTAGATGACTTTGTGATATGGCTATCTAATCAAGTCATATGCAAATATTATTAGGTCTAGGTGGGGATAATTTTTTCAAAGATGTTTTTTACATTTAGATGAACTTGAACTTAAGAAGATATCATATTTCAGTCATCATGGGCGTTTCAACTTAAGACCAATGCCTGCTTTATTCCATAAATGATTTTGGCTTAAACCCATTTGAGCACGGTCACGGTGGACCTTGAATTATTTTTAATTTTAATTGCTATGTAACGAGAAGTACATCAATACCGGATGTCTTGGACCCATTACAAATATTAGGCAGTATATATGGATTTGCCTTTCAACGGCCCAAAAAGAATGTGGTTCCTCAGCCGCTCCTTCGGATGATTGAACGGCCCAACAAGAACTCATCCTTAATGACGAAAATTTGGGTTTTATTCACAATCACATTTTCATTTTTTAAGGTCCCTCTTGTTTGTCTTTTTTTGGGCCCACTGAATAATTTTTTTGGATTTTATCCTTATGTTGAATGTTTGAATTTAATTTGATTAGTATTTCTCTTTTCCGTTTTCCCTCTTCAAAGCATCTTCATTTTCTTCACCATGAGAAAGGAAGAGAACAAATTTTTCCTTCAAAGCATAGCAATGGTAACATTACATTCATTATCATAATTATATTACTAAACTTCGGATGAAAATTTCTGCACAATTCCTTTGGATTTTTTTTTTAAATGAAAATTTTTCTTCCCCTAGCACCGTACAACACGTCTAATTAAATTATTATCAAATATCCGAAGTCCTAACACATCAAAGGTACCCTTTTACACGATTTGAATCTTAGAAAAAAAAAAAATCAAACACTAAAAATGGGGGTAAAAGCTAAGCGCCTTGCCTATTTAGATTGCGAAGCCGAAATTCAACTATACACTCTAATATAACAAGTAGTAAAGCAATTACACAAATTTAAATTGAAAAACATTGAACACTTCTTTAGAATCAATCTAAGTAAATCATTCGCCAGAAGAAATGCAGGAAAATCAAGATAACTCAATTCAAAGAAGGAAAAGCTAGCATTAAAATAAAGACTAATTTTTTTTCTCTTTCCTTATCTGGTTATTTTTTCGACAAACAACTCCAATATCATTTCAGGAACACATTAATTAAAAGGAAGATAGATGCAATCCCGAGATCAAATGAAAATTGTTCAAAGTATGTGTTGTTGAGATATGATCTACAGCCCCTGATCAATCAGATAGTCTCCCAACCTCTCAACAATCATGTTACACTGCCCTGGAGTCAAAGGTTCATCATAGATACCAAATATCAGAGCTTGGCCGGTTTTCTTCACAGTGATCCCGCCAGCACCCTGCAAGTTTGAAGATGTATAAACTAACTATCAAAACCAAAACTTATTTAGATTACACAACTTATACGTTTTTAATTTAAGATGTCGCAAAACCAGGGGCTGCATCTAATTAACGTCAGCATGGCGAGCATCTAGGAAAATGGAAATCTGTTCCTTGAAATCGTAATACAAAAAAGGATACCAACTTTAAATTGTCAATTTTTTTCCCCACTAAAAAAGGATCAGCTATTAATAAAAGTATACAACTTTGGGGTATTGTTTAACGCTGACATCTCTGCATTCAATCGGATTGTGGGGGTAACTAGGGGCTGCATCTAATTAACATCAGTATGGCGAGCATCTAGGAAAATGGAAATCTGTTTGTTGAAATCGTAATACAAATAAGGATACCAACTTTAAATTGTCAGTTTTTTTCCCCACTAAAAAAGGATCATGCTATTAATAAAAGTATACAACTTTGGGGTACTGTTTGACGCTGACATCTCTGCATTCAATCGGATTGTGGGGGTAACTTGGTTTTCACACACAACGGAGCAACTCAAGCAAGCCATCTTATGCTTTCTCCTATTCTTATTAACAAAGAAATCTAAAGGTACAGGATGAATTTGATTAGATAGTTCAGTACTTATCAAACAAAAGATTGACAAACTCTAGGTCATCTTTCTCAGTGTCAATTCGCTATACAACTAACCAACAAAAATGAAAAATGAATACTATCTAAATGCATTGAACTGTATCAAGATTCTTTCAAGGGAAGACGCAATGCAACAACGCCCACATGCTATAAGCTGTACTGTAAATTAAATAGAAAGATAAAGCTAAAATCATAATGAGATAGTAAATCATAAAGCGCTTTCCCGAACTACATTAGAGACGAGGTGATTCTTGAACTACATTAATCATATTGAACAACAACAACAATAAACCTTATCCCATTGGGGTCAAATTAATCATATCGAACGATTATAAGTAAATCATAAAGCACCTTCTTCCCACGAATGACAGCTCCAGGTTCTCCTTGGATGACCATATACTTTACGCCACCCAGATGTAAGCCAGTAGGGGCAAGGGAGCCGGGTTCATCAAAGTCCTTATTGATGGCAGCAATTTCTTGAGGCGTAAACTGCACAGGAAAGAACACCAATGAACAAGATATCACTATTGCAAGTTCATTTAGAACAGAAAGCTATGGCAAAGGTGTCTAACAGTTGAATTACTTATCCAACTCGGTAGAAGGGAATATACAAAGTACAGACAAATGATGCCGAAGCAGGAAATGACAGTATCCTTAGATAGTCGTTATCCCTCAATCCACCATGTTTGATTCCATTTCAATCTTTACTAAGCCTAAATCCCGAATCTTAAATCAAATGCCAGGCATAAAAAAAAAATTTTTTTAGGCCCCCTTCTTTTTATCTTAGGCACAAAATCAGCATTTTTGATTCTCATCAGTCATCACTCTCTTGGAAATCTGTTTTGACCGAATACTCACTCCACATCAGAATACCACCAGCGAAAGATTAAACTGGACGAGTACAACTGCAACTGCATTTTTGCATTTGTGGGGTTTGACAGATGTGTAAAAACGAGTACATGCAAACAAACATAAATGATTTTTTCCTCTAACAAAACAGAATTTTAGCAAATGATAAAAAAAGAAAGAAAGAAAGAAAGATGCAACACCTCCTCTGTTATATACGCAACAAAGGCAATAAAAATATCAACATTCTAAAAGAAAATAAAACCCCAAAAATTAAAAATTAGAAATTACTATAAAACTCACATTTGTTTTTAAATCTGAAGCCGATCAATTAGTCACTAGCCAGCCAAACAGATCAAGAAGCAGGGGTCCAAATGGAAAAATCAAACAGAACCAAAAGCAAGCAGATCTAATCAGATTATCTGAAAACAAAGAGGACCTGAGGGAAGGAGGAGCTCTGAGCCCAGACGCTACCATCGAGACCGACGATTGCGGCAGCGGTGAGGTTGTGGCCGTCGATATCACACATGAGATGGTCATCAACGTACGCCTGCCACGACATTTTTGACAAAGAAACTCGAGGGATTCGACTTCTGCTATATCTTCCGCTGAATCTGATTTGGTTTGAAGGGACTACGGGAGGGAGGGGTTATAAATAAATACATAAATAAATAAAAGTAAGAAAATATTCAAAATAAGGAAAGTGTGGGGCCACCGGTGGGGTGAGGAAGGAAATGCAGAGCGATGTGAGCCGTAGATGAGAGCATAAAGATTGAATGAGTGCCGTTCACGTTGTGTGTTCAGAGTTATGTGTTGGTGTGGGGACTGCCATGGTATTACCATATTACTCACACCTTACGTGGCCACGTGGTTACTATCATTCTGTCCACTCCCGGTTTTGGATCCGTAGGCCCCCCTACTTTATGCCTTTTTTTTTTTCCCTTCATTTTATCACAGAAAATCAAAATTGCCCAACTGTGATTGACAAAATCAGAATAACGTATAAGAAAAATATCTTGCTTACTCAGTATTTATTTTTTTTATGTATAATAAAAATTAAAGCATCATATATTATTTTTTTTTTTTGCTGAAAAAATAGCCAGAATATTATAAATTAAAAATATTTTATTTCTTCAACAGATTATTTTCTTAATATATATATACATGGATAGATGTATACTTCAATTAATATATGTGTGTATGTATGTACTTGTCAAAATAATATATTTATGCTTCTTTCTGTTAATATTTTTACAGAGAGAAGAAAAAAAATTATTAATTTATAAAATTTATTTAAAAAAATTTCATTTCATTTTGGCCACCAAACTTCTCATGATTCAAGCACGTGTGGAAACAGGGAGGAGTGTCTCCCAAATCTCAAATCCGCTGGCTTCAAAAGTGTGAGATTTGGTGCGGCCGCTTGATGCAAAAGCAACCGTATAAGATGCATGTATGTGGCAACTTAGAGTTGGTTTAGTTGCTTGAAAAAAAAAAAAAGATGGAATGGATTGATAAAAGAATAAGATGTTCTAACATGAGATCACAAATTGATAAAGAGATGACAATAATAAAGAGATGATAGTCATGCAGTGATAGTGGGATGCGGCTAGATGACAATAATGTAATAATAGCAATGTATATTAACATAAAGAAGCCTAATTTTTTAGAATTAACAAAAATATTATAAAATTTTAAAATGTGGAAAAATACAACGTAATAGTCTAATAGACTAGATTGATAAGAATTCAGTTAAAAAAAAGATTGAAAAAAATTAAAATCACTTAAAAGTCAAACTTATTCTCATTTTATACTATATGTGTGTATCGAATTATTAAAATTGAGAATTGGTTTGTATTTGAAAACATAAAATACTAACTTGATAAGTTAAGAAAACATAAAAGAATTAAATTGATAAAAATTAAGGGATCAAATTGATAATGAGTTGAATTTAATGGCCTAAAAATTTCATTATTTACATATTATATTTATATACGTATATTGTCTAAATCAATGCATCAAGAAAATGTTTACCTGGCCCGCAACCCGGGCCCAAAGCGATGTAGAAGAAACATAGAGATAACTCTTCAAGCGACGTTCTTTGAACTCTCTAGTGGCTTCTTTCATTTTTATTGGGTTGGGCTATATGTCGTCTCCATATAATAGTCCAAGTTCCTGTTTTTTTTTTTTAATTAGATTTTCATTAGAAGTGCACGAGTTTAAAAAAAAATAAAAATAAAAATAATACTGCTCCTAATTTAGGAATATATGCCCTTTCTTTATAGATTTCAGATCTTATACTGATACCATGCTCTGATATGCATTTAATTTCAAATAATATGCACTTATGCTTCTAATAGAATAAAATGATATTGCTAATCACCCATTGTCTTATTGGCAATATCATCTCCCTGAGAGCATAAGGTTTAGAGTTTAAACTTTGCATTGGCATGCATGGGTTGTAAATTTATTAAATTAAATTAATAGATGTTGATGATGATTAATGAGTACTTTAAAATATGGAATAAATGATATTTATTTATTTTATATCAAATAAAAAAAGATAAACATTTCAATTGAAATTAAAAAAAAAAAAATTTACCCCAAACCCAGCCCTTCTTCATAAAAAAGGGATATACACATATTCACATAAACATGTCAACGCTAGATTCAAACCAAGACTTCTTCCAAAAAAAAAAAAAAGTATTGCTGTTAGGATTACTGAGAGTTGACATTTTAATTCAAGCAAAAGAAATGTAAAATACTGCCATTTTGAATATCTATTCTTCAAACATTAGATAATTCTTCACCGAGTCTAGGAAGGCATAATATGATAGATGATTCTTTCCCGGGTCTAAGAAGGCATAATTTGACAGATGACATAATTTAATTAGTGGCATACTTTTAAAACGAGTTGACGTGAGGTACATCTAATATCATGCAAATATTATATTTAGTGAAATGACAAAGACTTGGTTCTTACCGCAATAATTTAACGTAAACTGCACCGAAGGGCCTAAAAGCTAAAGGTGACTCTTGCAGCTGATATTAATAGCACAAAATCACTTGAGCTTTCAAGAATGCATTTCAAACCTATTATATTACTAAATAAATGAAATTAAAACCACAAATAATTTGAAGAAGGAGACAAGAAACAGAGAAAATTCGCGAAACTTCTGGCAGAGGGTGTTTTCGAGTAGATCATGGTTTGAAACTTTTAATCTTATCTTCTCATTACTAATACATGTATCTTATTAATGAGTAATTTGCAAGTATTATGATCACTATCACTATTTAAGTTATTAGCTGAAACAATGTATGCTATGATGTGTGTATATATATATATATATATATCGCAAGAATTTGGATGGATAAGAAAGGAGGAAATGATACGGGTCTTTATTGTTTCAATGACCAAGAGGTTAAAAAACAGGAATGGATAAATATCTACATTAGTAAATTAGGATATTTTTAGTTTCTGTTTTCATTTTTTATTTTTCAAAATGGATTTGCAAAACATTTTTAAAAATTATTTTCCAAAACAAGAAAATAAAATTTATTTAATTATACTAATTCAAAATAATTTTAGAATTAAAAAATTGACTAATAGTAATGGTCATTGATGATTAATAGTGATGGCTTACGATAATTACTGGTTAATGTAATTATAGTTTTTAATAATTAAATGCAATGTATCTTGAAAATAAAAAAAATAAATGAAAACAGTTTTTAGATGTTTCTGTTTTTTTTAAGAAAAAAATGAGAATAGTTTAAAAAATAATTAGATTCAAAACACTTATCCAAACAATTTTTTAATTTTTTATTTTTAAAAATAAAAGCAAAAATGCCCTAACTTTTCTCTCGTTTCATAAAATGTTTTTTTTAACATGATTTAATGTTTCATAATACGTAGGATCTTTTTTAAAAAACAATGATTCATTAATAAAATTATTTCTCCTTGAGTCACTCCATAAATATTTTTTTTCTCTCTATAATATTTACAATTTTATTAAAAAAAATCCATCCTATGAAAAATGTTGAACGAGTATGGGAGTCAAAATTTCAAAGAAAAAGATCAGTCAAGGCTTGGCTTTGATGAAAAGAGAAATGTAAGGAAAGTAGAAAGAAAAAAATACTAATTTTTTTAAAAAATAATAAACGATCATAATATTTTGAAAATTATTGGACTTTCTTGATTATCTGTTTTTAAAATGTTTTTTAGAAACAAAAAAATAAAAAAAAAAATATTTGAAAATATGTTTTTTATTATTTGTTCTTGAAAAACAAAGAAATTTAAAGTTGTTTTAAAAAATTTAAAAATCGGGAACACCTTTTTTATATCTTATTACTTTTTATTTTATAAATTAGAGAAAAAACAAAAAAATTATCATGTTTTCATTAAGGACAATTATTTGAATAAAATAAATAATTCTTTCACAATTTATTTTGTCCCTTTAGATATTTTTTCAAAACAATAATTTAAATATTTTTTTATTTTTCGTTTTTAAAACTTGTTTGAAAAATTACTGTAAGAAATTATTTTAAAAACATAAAAAAATAAAATCAAACAAGCCCTCTCTCTCCTAATATTCCTTGCTCTCTAATATTCTTTTTATACTAAGGGTAAAAAAATTGAAGGATCCACGGTAGCTAGAAAGTCAAAATGACGCCATAAAGACTCAACAACAACATTAATTACACTGTAACATAAAGATTGGCCACCATGCCTCTGGCGCAATCAAGAGCCACGATGCAAAGGTAATCCTATGGTTCATCCACTAATAATTTTTTACCTTATTTGTTTTAAATTATAAAATATTTTTAAAAAAATTTAATATTTCAAAATATAAAACATTTTAATAAAAATAATATTTTTAAATATTTTTTTTCATGTATTCTCTTTCCTTGACATTCTTTTATAAGTGGAGTGTAAAATAAACGATAGTTTTAAAAGTTTATATTTTTATTTTAAAAAAATAAAAACATAAGATATATTTAACAAACTTCGTTTGTATGTATAATTTCATTTAAAAATATATTATAAATTGAGACATTAACGTTTTGCCAATGATATGACGGCTACAATACAATCATATATTAACGTTTTTAGTCAGAAACGGAAAGATTTTAACACAAATTGTCAAGTCTCAAGATCTCTTGAGCAATTTGTTATTCATATATATATATATATTTGAGTATGTCAATTTTAAGACTTGAAGTTTAAATCAAATTATTGCACTACCTTTTTGCTAATCAAATTAGTTGAATTTGCATCCGATTAAGAAATTATTGGAAGACAGAGGAGGAAGAGTAGGTAGTTAACACAAGGGGTTAAAGGCTGTCCCGCATTTAGTGACACAAACAAAGACAGGTGGAGCAATGGAAGCCTCAAGCTTTATCATTTCAGTCAGGGTTTCTAATTTCCTTTATTTTTTTAAAAAGGAATCTTCCCATTTAATGTTTTAATTGTACATACTGAGTTGTAGTTGCGTAATATGTGTTCTCAAATGTTACAGCAAATTGGTAATGCCTTATCAATTATAATTGCCTTATGATACAATTAAGCTCCACCCGAAAGTTCTTAATTATACATTTGTACTCGTTTCGTACACAAGTAAATTACTCCAGTAACGAATCCTTGCAAATACCTTGAAATATTTATACTTTTTTCTAGAAAAATTGTTGCATATGGATTTAGTGTGCCACATTATTTATATTTTGTTTAATAAAAATATGATATTATATCAATTTAATCAAATAAAATTTTATATATTATTATTCTTAATTTTTAGTCATCAATAAAATAATCAATTTATATTTATAGTCGTTTGATATGATATGTTTCTATTGAATAGAATGTTGATGATGTGGTGTATGGGATTCATATAAGAATTTATCATTTCTCATTCTTTTAGTTTTGTTCATAAAACAGGGAGAACTTTTTTTTTCTTATTTATAAGTTGTGTCATTAATTTTTGAAAAAATTAATCTTTTAGTCCTTTAATTTTTAAGTCACTTGTAACTCAGTCCCTCAACTATGACTCACTGTGACTCAGTCTCTTAATTATAACTTATCTATGACTCAGTTCCTCAACTTTTGAGTCACTTACAAATTAGTCCCTTAACCTTTGTTAATTTTTTTTTTCATGTTAGCTTATATCTCACATTAATGAATAAGAAGAGAGTATTTTAAAATAATATATGAGCATTTTTTATCCGTCTTATTTGATAAAAAAGTTTTTTTAAAAAAATTTAAAAATAAGGATCGAGTTATAGGCAAATTAAAAGTTGAGCAATTGAATTGCAACGAGTTATAATTGAAGGATTGGGTCGCAGTGAGTCATAATTGAGGGACTGAGTTACAAGTAAGTCAAAAGTTGAAGGATTAAAAGATTAATTTTTCCTTAATTTTTTATCGTAACTTTATCTTTTTACCCCTATTAAATTTGGTAAAAGAAAATATGTTATTAATATTTTTATATATATATATATATATATCTTTAATAATAAAGTTGAAACTTATTAAATTTTTAAATATAGTTAATGAATAAAAAAATATAATTATTAGTTCCTATAGTTTTATCAAATTTTATTGTTAGTTTTTGTAACTTTTTTAGTATTTTCAGTCTTTATACTAAAATTATATGAAACTAAGTAACAAATATTACCCAATTTTATTAAAATTATAAAGACTGAAAATATTAAAAAATTTATGAGAACTAAAGGCAAAATTTGATAAAATTATAAGAATTAATAATTATATTTTTTCTTGATAAATTTTAAGATTTTTATTGATGTAGTGATAAAATCCTGAAATATGGCCAGAGCCAAACTCAAAGGAAAGCAATGACTTTGTTATTTTATAAAAACTAATAGTTTTGAAAAAGAAAATTTAATAACTAATTAAATAATACAAATAAATAAAAAATGATAAAAATAATGAACCAAATCTATCAGATAAGCATTACAAATCAAGAATCATCTAGTAAAATGATTTACTTTAATTTAATTAATTATTTTTTGTTATTTATAGTGGCACTCATTCTTAAGATACCCTAATTATCTCTTATTGGATTAAGGTTTGCCTACGTTGAATTAGCTCCTATCCAACTCAAAAGGAATTAATTAGATTTTGAAGCTATGATGTAAGTCATTGTAAATTCTAAATTATTCTTAATTTAATTATCCATATTTATCTTTATCGTATAGTGGCCATCTACATTATAAACAATTGAGAAAACATAACTTTTAATTCCTACACCTTGCTGTGATTTGCAATTGGTCCCTACACTTTATTTTTTATGTTTTAAGTCCTTACATTTTTCTCCGTTTACATTTTAGGTCACTACACTTTCAGAGGGGTGTTGATGTAGCATTGACGGTGTTAATTATGCTGATGTGGATAATAGCACTGTTAATTATATTGTAACGTGTCAGCTAGTGGCTGATGTGCATTTTTTTTTTGGTGAAAAAAAGAAAGAAAAGCTGACATATACTTCCTCTGGCCCTTATTATAAAACACTTTCAATCATTTTACGCATATTAAGAAAAGTTAATTTTTTTAATATCATAAGAAAATGATATGTATTTTCATTTTCATCCTTGGTGTTAAATAATGATACAACTATATTAAATATCTTCACATTAATCAAAAAATGACAAAATTTAAAAAAGTAGTTTAATTATTGTAAAGTGTTTTATATTTTGAACTTTTTTTTAAATATGTCCTGTAAATAAGACTCGAGTGAGTATTTTCTTTAATAATCAAAAAGTGAAAAAAATTTGTCCTAACTCAGAACTCAAATAATATATTTTATATACATTAAAAAATAATAAATCAGCTTGAACCTAACGTCAAACCTGACTTTGGATCATAGAACTGCAAGAAAGGTATCTTGAAGCACAGAATTGTAGCAAAGTGACATTTTTTCATAGCCTTAAAACCTACTTATATATATATATATAATAATTATTAAAAAAATACACATTAGCTTTTCTTTCTTTTTTTCAAAAAAAAAAAACACACTAGCCACTAACTAACATGTCACTGTATAATTAATCGTGTTATTGTCCAGATCAGTATAATTAACACTGTTAATGCCGTGCCAGCACCCTTATGAAAGTATAGGGACTTAAAATGCAGATGGAGAAAATTATAAGGACTTAAAACATAAAAAATAAAGTGTGTGGACTAATAACAAATCACGTGTAAAGTATAGGAATTTAAAGTTATGTTTTTTTTAAAAATATTCAAACAAGAGAAATAAATATAATTATAAATAATAAATTCTCATGCAAGGAAAATTATGTTCAAGAAAAAAAACACCAATTGAGAGTTTGGAAATAACTTAAAAGTTAATGCTATTGAGAAGATTATTTGTAATTTTTCCGTCACTTTTTAGCTAAGAATCTAGCAAAATCACGCCTAAATTGTATCTAATTTTATGATGATATCTTATTCAAACTCCATTCAAATATTAAAACGCAGGTGGCCACGTGTTTGAGCTCTACAGTCGTGCGCGGTTGGCACAGTTGTATCGTGTCAGTGCGTGGGCGATAGTCGAAGGTCTCCTCCCGGTTTGATTGTTCGCACGAGGGAGAAGAGCGAGGGTCCTAGATGTGCGGCGATGGAGACGAAATGCAATGAAGTTCTGAGCGCACGGTCTACAATAGATAGCTCAGCTTCCTTCGTCTTGTTTACGTCCGTGCACGAATTAGTTTTGCTCTGCAGTTCTCCGCGGACACAGTTCGACGCATACGACTGCGAACGGAGACCCCTTTTAGTGATTTTGTCCGCGAACGGAGGTTAGCAGTGGGCTTGATTCTTGGGCTTTGACCATGGCTTTGAGTTCTAAGCCCCCCCCCCACCCTAAATGATATTTTGCTCATATTTCCTGAAAAACATCCCAAAATTACGTCGTGAGATGTTCTATCTATATTTATCCTTATTTTTTGTGTTATTTAATAAATAAAAGAGCTAAAATTATATATAAATTCAAGTAAAATATCTATTTATCAAATATTTTGCAATTGAGAGAGTAACAAGTTTTCTATAAATATTTTCAGGCCAATTAAAAAGTTACTAATTATTAATGGAGGGAACACTGAAACTGAATGAATGAACCGAAAGAGGCTTAATTAAGACCACCATTATTATTAATTGCGAGTGCCATAACAGATGTTGAGACACAAGGGTTTCGCAGTTTTCTCTCTTGCTAGTTGCCAAGTTCCAAGCCAGAACCATAAAGTTCTCTCTGCCATGACGCAACAATTTCTTTCTCTCTCTGTAACGACGATCCCCCGTTGTCCACGTTGCACTTACCATTAGAAGGGGACAAAATTTGTGGCCAATGCTTGTAGGCAGAGACATTGCCTTTTTATAAGGTTGCGTCGATACTTGATTGTTCTCATGCTGATGAGAGTGACACATATACACGCAATTATAAGTTTAGAATCAAAACTGTTATTAAAAAAAAAAAAAATAGCGAAAGGCCACTTCTTCAGCTAGCTCATTGAATTGCAGTTTAGCCCTTTGGGCTTGGCAACGATCCTATAATGGTAAGAATTCGGTTCTTTCTACTTTTATTGCTGCCTTTTGCTGTCAATCTGTGTTGGGTTGTAGGTATTTATATTCCTTACTCTGATTTTGAATGGTGTGAATTCATTCTTTCTTGTTTCATATGTGTTTTATTGATCCCTTCAGTTTTGTTGGTGGTGGATCATGTGCGTCTGTCCTTCTTAAATTCTTCTGTGGCCTGTTTAATCTCTTTCAGCCTGGGTCAATCTAACCTGATAGTTTTGAGTTTTCTTAATTGAAGCGAAAGTTTTAGATGAATATCGTATAAACAGAAAACTTCTACCTTTTCTAAGCAGTAGTTGAAATAAAAGCTCTGTTATTGCTATTTTTGATGTCGACATGGCTTGGGTTTTCAGGTGATTTATCTTCCTTGCTCTACTTTTAAATGACACGAATTGTTTCTTCCTTAGTTTCATTGACGACTGATCATGTGCTTTTTCTTCAATCTCTTTCGGGTAGAAACAGTTCATGATTGAAGCCAACGTGTTTGGTGAAGATTCTTTATATGGAAAAACTTCTTCTTTCAGCATAAGCTGAAATATAACTCTTTGGTACAGTAGTTATGAATATTTTGCAGGTTTAGTGTATTTTATCTTCCCCAATGTGATTTTGAATACTATGAATTGGTTCTTGCTTATTTAACACACACACAATCCCTTTGGTTTCATCGGTGATGAATTATGTGCTTTACCCACTCTTTGTAGTCTGTGTAATATCCTTTTTAGAATCTATCTTGACCTTCTATTTTTTAACTTATGAGTGAATTTTCTCAATCATATGAAAGTCTTTAGTTTATAGAATTGGAGTTGTAGGATTTTCCGAGTTATTGTGCTGGTTTTGCTCGACTCTGATGTTGTGTTTCTTGGCATAAGCCAGACATAGGTCTCACTCTGAGGCTCTTTTCATGGCGTTGAGATGATGGAGGACAATGATGATGATGATCCATGATCTCTCCTTCTGTCTTGATGAATAAAACAATCAAGGATTCTTAAATATGACGGTGAGAGGAAAGACAGATATAAATCCAATTCTATTGAAATTTGGTGTGGCTTTAGCTTTTTCTCTTGCTGGATTTCTCTTCTCTCGCCTAATAACAAGAAGAACCAGGCCCTCTCCTACTCCACCCTCAAGCCACCCTTCAGGTTTTTTCCCCCCTAATCATCAATATTCCTGTCTCCCTCTACCTCCTGGATTTGATTTAAATGATGAAAACCTTTTTTTAGGTGGTAAAGATCAAAATGAAGATGGTCTTCATGTTATAAAGGCAGCATCTATTCCTTGCTTCACTGCTTCAGAGGCACATATTGTGGATACTGTGCGTAATAGAAAATACACAATCCGGAATGTTTACTGAATGTTACTTTTGGTATTGACATTTAATTGCTGATAGACTGATTAGGTTCTTCCCAGATGCAAACCAGTTGGTCCATCGTCCTCTGCATGATTGCTAGGAATTTAAGTCATGAGATTTAGGATTCAAAGTTTATATTTCCAGCTTCAGAAAATAAAGATGAGATTCATTTTTTTCTGTTGGTTTCCTCTTGCTATAATGTTCTACATGGATCACTTGTGAACTACTCTGAAGTTTTTTTGGCTAAGATCTTGTTCATTTTTCGTATTTGGAACCTTTTTAAGAGAAAAGAAAAGAAACTTGTGCAGGAAGCTGGGGATATTTTTCAGACTGCCAATTTATTTTCAACTTGAACGTTCTCTGTTTTAATCATTGTGTCTATGAATTTTTTTCTTGGTGACAATTTTTCTATCTGCAGAAAAAATATTGAAATTGTCTATAAACTGCTGTGGTGTATTGTTTTTGTCAATAAAATATTATTGCCAAAAGAAAGTTGCATGTATACAAAAACTTTACTACAAAACGACTCAAGAGAAATGATTAATTCTAGTCAGTCGATACATTTGGAACTTTGTTTTAGTGTTTTTTTTTTTTTTTTTTAGCAAAAGGACTGTGCTTTTGTGTTTGACTAGAGGCAAATTGGTATGATATTTTTACTTAACTAAAATGGGGACATTATATCAAATTTCTCTGCAGCAAGAAGCAACAAGTGTTAATAAAGTGATAGTTGAGAATTCCCCATCTGGTCACCCTCCCAGCTGTAAAAATAGTGATGATGAAGGCGAATTCCTCTTACCTGAGTTTAATGATCTTGGGAAGGAGTTGGACTTTGGAGTCACCATTGTTAGAGATTCTTACAAGAAAGATGCAGAAACACCAAGATCAAGGGAAGAATCTCCCAAACCATATGTAATTCCACAAAAGGATGACTATGAGGAAGAAATCCAGTATTTGAGGAGCAAAATTGAAAAGCTTCGGGAGAGGGAAAAAGATCTGGAGGTTCAATTACTTGAGTACTGTGGTCTGAGAGAGCAAGAAAAAGCTGTGATGGAGCTTCAAAATCGATTGAAGATAACTATTACAGAGATGAAGATGTTAAATCTGAAGGTCGAGACCTTACAGTCTGAGAATCTGAGATTGGAGTCTCAAGTGGCTAATCATGCTAATGTGGAGGCTGAGCTTGAAGCTGCAAAAGCAAAAATCCAACTGCTCCAGAAGAAACTTAGGTATGAAGCTGAACAGAAGAGGGAACAGATCATAACCCTTCAAAAGAGAGTTGCTAAGTTGCAAGAGCAAGAAATGAAAGTTGCTGCTAGTAATAAAAATATTCAAGAAAAACTGCAAAAACTGAAGGATCTTGAGACTGAGGCAGAAGAGTTGAGGAAATCTAATTTGAGATTGCAAATTGACAATTCTGAATTGGCTCGGAGATTGGATTCTACGCAGTTCCTTGCCAATTCTGTTCTGGAAGAACCTGAGGTAATAAGATTATGGTCAACCTACGTTCTTTAGTTACTGTTGAATGTAATTTTACCTTGTATATACTTTTTGGATGCAGGTAGATGCTTTGAAGGAAGAAAGTGAGCGTCTTAGACAACAGAATGAGGACTTAATGAAGGAAATTGAGCGACTACAAGCCGATCGGTGTTTAGATGTTGAGGAATTGGTGTATCTGCGGTGGATAAATGCTTGTTTAAGGTATGAACTACGGAATTATCAACCGCCACCTGGTAAAACAGTGGCAAGGGATCTAAGCAAAAGCTTAAGCCCTGCGTCTGAGAAGAAAGCCAAGCAGCTTATATTCGAGTATGCGACTACTGATGGCATAGGGGAAGGAGGAGTCCCCATTGTAGACTCTGATTCAGATCGATGGTCCTTCTTCTCCCTGGCTTCTTTTCTCTCAGACTCTGCAGAGTGTGATGATTATTCTTCTGTTGACGATTCATCTGTTGCCAAAACTAACACCTCAAGCAAGGCTAAATTTTTCCGAAAGCTTAGACGGCTGCTACGAGGCAAACATGGCCATGATCGTCGTCATCAAGAAGGTAGCGATTTTTCACATTTTAGTCCCAGCAATGTAACAGAAGATGAAGCTGGAGCTGTAGGTCACTGGAATGAATTTGCAGCGCCCACTTGGGCATCTAGAACTTCCTTTCAATCGCAGGGGGTGACAAATTTAAAGGAGAAACGAGGGGCAATGAGGAATAGCATTGACGTAGGAGGATCAGAGAGATTCATTCATAGTATGGTAGGTTCTGGAGATTTTAAAAACCGACTTGGTTCTTTGCCAGATTCCTTGGACACAGCGAAATCTGAGTTGGTGAAGTACGCAGAAGCTTTAAAAGACACTAGTGTTGGTGCCTCATGTAAGTTGCATAAAAGATCAGCATCATATCTATAGTTCATTTTAACTTGCAACTGACAGATTTTGGATTAACGGGGTATACAGTAGTAAATGCTCATGTATCATATCGGCCATTTGGTCTATTTAGAGACTAAAGGTCTTATAAATAAGAGTATATTCTAAATCATGAGTTACCATGTATCATTATTGTGCACAATTTTGGGGGTCAGAGTATATAATAAGCTCCTGTTGATCCTGACTCTTCTTGCAATTGTGAAGTCAATGATGAATCTCTGTTGATGACCAAAGAAAAGAAAAGAAAGAAAGAAAGAAAGAAGCTCAGTTTCCTTTCATCTCATTGACGCTTCAATTCTGATAGTTAGGTTGTGGCAGAATGCCCATTTCATTTTGTGAGGAAAAATATATACGAAAATTGTTAATTTTACATTGGAGAAAAATGATGTTACTTTAACCCACAAAATGTGAGTTTGAACTGAGTTTTCTCTCTAGTTTGCGTGTTCACTTTATGAAAAAGGCGATAACGGGCAATGTTTTAAAAGCCAGTCCGGAAGTTGAACTGAAAAAGATAGCAATTTTTAATTTTTTATGGTCTAATTAGTTAGATTAATGATTGAATTGGTAATATAATAATTAAATAAAAATAATATTAAATATATTTATAAAATAAATATGAGAAACAAACCTACAATATGCTTAGTTGTTAATAAATTGATATAATATGATCATAAATAAATAATATTATAAATTATAATTTTTTAACTTGTCAAACACAGTAGATGTTGATTAAATTAGATATAAGTAAATTCAAAAATATCTGTATTTATATTTATAACGGTCAACATTTTTGTAAAAAACGATCTCATATTATATTTTATATATATGAATTGTCTAAAAATATAGTGGCTTTTGATGAGGATTTAATTTTTAAATTTTTTTAAATTTTTAATTTTTTTAATATTATGTTTAAAATTTTTTAGTTTTTTGAAAACTGTTCCAATTTCTAATTTGACTTTGGCTCAACTCCGATTCAATTCCACTCAACTATGAAAAAGGTTTTTTGGATCTAAACTGAGCCGTTAACGGTTTTGATTGACAGTTCGATCATTTGGTTCAGTTCAGTCTTTAAAACAATAATGATAAAGGGGGCATACATGTTGGCCGGCCTCAGACCTTACTACAACAACAACAACAATAACAAGTCTTTATCCTACTAGGTGGGGTCGGCTACATGGATTACAAGATGTCATTGTACTCTATCATTTATCAAGCTTTTAGGAATATTATTAATTAAGAGATTGCGTTCAACAACTTCCAAGAGTGTTCTCTTAGGCCTTCCTCTACCTCTCTTAATCGGACTTAAAGTTATATGTTCCACTTTTTTCACTGGTGCCTCCCTTGGTCTTCTTTGTACATGCCCAAACCATCTCAACCGATTTTCTACCATTTTTTCCTCAATAGGTGCTACCCTCACTTTTTCGCGTACATGCTCATTTCGAATTTTATCTTTATGTGTATGTCCGCACATCCATCGTAACATTCTCATCTCTGCTACTCCAACTTTATGCTCTCACTGTCCTGTTAGAGCCTAGCATTCACTACTATATAACATTGCCGGTCTGATAACAGTGTGATAAAACTTTCCTTTAAGTTTATTAGGCACTTTACGGTCGCAAATAACTCCTTTAGCTTTTCTCCAATTAAACCACCCAGCTTGAATCCTATGTGAAATATCTCCACTGATTTTGCCATCATTTTGAATAATGGCTCCCAAATATCTAAATTTTTTCACTTGAGATATAATTTGATCTCTCAATTTCACTTCTAAATTATTGTCGAATAGTCTCTTACCAAGTTTACAATATAAATATTCCATCTTACTCCTACTCAGACGGAAACCTTTCGACTCCAATGTCTTCCTCCATAACTCAAGTTTGCAATTAACCTTTTCTCTTGTCTCTGCTATAAGAACTATATCATCCGCGAAGAGCATACATTTAGGAATTTCCCCTTGAATATGTTCCATCAAAACATTTAGGATCAAGTTGAACAGATAAGGACTCAAAGATGATTCCTGATGTAGTCCAATCTTTATAGAAAAATTCTTTGTTTGACTACTAGGCGTTTTTATACTAGTTTTTACCCTCTCATACATATCTTGTATGGCTTTAATATAAGCAATCCGTACTCCCTTTTTTTCCAACGCTTTTCAAAGAACTTCTCTTAGTATACGGTCATAAGCTTTTTCCAAATCAATAAAAATCATGTATAAATCTTTATCTTTACAATGATATTTTTCCATTAATCCCCTTAGTAGATAAATCGCCTCTGTAGTTGATCTACCTGGTATAAAATCAAACTGATTCTCAGAAATACTTGTCTCCAATCTCAACCTATGCTCAATTACTTTCTCCCACAATTTCATTGTGTGGCTCATGAGTTTAATCCCTCTATAGTTAGTACAATTATGAATATCTCCTTTATTTTTATAAACAGGAATTAATGTACTTCTCCTCCACTCATCAGGCATTTTTTTGGACTGTAAGATCACATTAAATAACTTAGTTAACCATCTCACCCCTTCTTCACCTAAACATTTTCACACTTCGATAGATATACAATCAGGTCCGTTGGCTCTACCATTTGCCATTTTCTTAAGAGCTTTCTTTACCTCCTTATCACGTATTATTCGATAGAATGATAAATTTTGTTCTCCTTCACCGGTTACTAAATCCTCCAAGTTACTAAATGAACCCTCTCCATCATTGAAAAGTTTGAAAAAGTAAGTCTCCCATCTATTTTTAATTTCATTATCTGTAACTAAAATTCTTCCCTCTTCATCCTTAATACACCTTACTTGTTCTAGATCCCCTGATTTTCTTTCCCTACTCTTGGCAATCTTATAAATGTTTCGTTCTCCTTCCTTAGTCTTAAGGCTCTTATAAAATTCTTCAAAAGCTTTAGAATGAGCTTTACCCACAACTCTCTTAGTTTCCTTCTTAGCCATACAGTACCTCTCCCAATTTTCCTCATTGTTACACAAATGTATGGCTTTAAAACAGTTCTTCTTATACTTGATTTTGTCCTGTACACTATTATTCTACCACCAAGACTCCTTATCTCTTGGACCAGAACCTTTTGATTCTCCCAAAACTACTTTTGCAGCCTCCCATATCTTTTTAGCCATATGCTCCCACATGATGTTAGCACTTTCCTGAGATTTTCAAATTCCTTTGTCCAAAAGATTTTACTTAAAAATATCTTACTTCTCACCTTTTAATTGCTATCACCTAATCCTTGGTGCTACTACTTGTCGACACTTTTGGATTTTACTCATAATACACACATCAAGGACTAGGACTCTATGTTGTGTCGTTACAGCATCTCCGGGGATCACCTTGCAATTTTTACAAAGTTTTCTATCTGTGTTCCTAACCAAAAGAAAATCAATCTGTGACCTTGAGGCTCCACTTTTGTAAGTGATGAGATGCTCATCTCTCTTTTTGAAACAAGTGTTGGCAATCTTAAAATCATACGCCAATGAGAAATCAAGAAGAGTTTGTCCTTCATTGTTTAGCTCTCCAAAACCAAAACCACCATGCACCCTCGTATACTGACCAGCCTCCTTCCCAACATGCCTATTAAAGTCTCCTCTAATAAAAATCTTTTCACTCTGTGGTATGTGTCGAATCAACTCCTTCAGATCCTCCCGAAATAATTCCTTAAGACTGGCTTCTATCTCAATTTGCGGCGCATAAGCGCTAACAATATTAACAGTCTCACGTCCAATTATCATTTTTAAGGAAATAATTCTGTCTCCAATTCTGCTAACTTCTACAACATTCTTTTTCCACTCCTTATCCATAATGATGCCTACTCCATTGTGTACGCTTATTTTTCCTGTATACCAAAGTTTGAAACCTTGAATATCCTTAGCTTTTTCTCCACGCCATTTTGTTTCTTGCAGGCAAAGGATATTGATTTTTCTTTGAATCATAACCCCTACAACCTCTATAGATTTACAATTCAATGTCCCAACATTCCAAGTACCAAATACAACCTCAATGACGTGGTAGCCCTTGTTCATTTGACACTACATCCGGGCGCCGATACAGCGGCTCTAACTCACTTATCACTGTACTCGAGCCATGCAGCGCGTTACTTACGGGCAATGACCTAGCATTAACATTATAACGTCTATTGTCCATGTTCATGATAGATTCAACAAAGTTTTATATTGGCTGTTGATGGCCTAACACAACCCTCCTCCTTTATCCGGGCTTGGGACCGACTATAAACATAGGTGGAGTTGGCCTCAGACCTTACTATAATTCCCAAATCCGATTAATCAATGTTATCCAAAACTCAAATGACCATTTGTGTCTATATTATGATTTTGATTTCCTGAATAGATTTTTTTTCTCTTCCCTTTCTGGGGGGTTAATTATTAATGGGAAAGTGAAAAACGTCTGTTGATTTCCTACTCTGGTTGAATCCAAGCAGATTGCGCTCTGCACTTTTTTTAAGCTCTTTTTGCCATCAGTCGGGAACCCTGAATTGCGGTGACCAAGACATATGCTTTGGCATGATAGAGTTTAGGGCAAAATTGAGATTAAAAACAATACAAAGGAAGAACAAGCTCTGGGAGATAACGGGTGGGCAATCTTATTTCTTTGATCTGAATGACAAACACCAAAACATAATTTGCATTCTGCATTTAGCACAGTTATATCCCTTCCTATGCAACAGATTGTGCCCTTTATGGCTTTATAATAGCGGAATAGGCAGTCCAGGAACCTCCAAATGAGTGCATTTATCAGAAATATTCAGAGACAATGACAAACAAATTACACATTTATGCATAGAAACATGAACAAACTGTCTGCTTCACTTGCATGATAAATAGTGGTACACTAGAAAGTCTTAGAGAGATCAAGGTAGAGCTATGAATAAGTGCTTATGAGATAAGGGATATGCCTTGTAAAAGCAGGGCATCAGCTACAACCTGGTTAGCAGCTTGAGAAGGATGGACACTGTCCCAGAACACATACTGGGTAGCATTAGAACAAGTCCCTGGTGACTTTGGATTGCACAATAATATTGTCGTCTCTACAGTTCCAGTACCGCAACAACCTCTCCTTGCCTCCACAAAACCTGCCAGTATCACAAGGGTTAAAAGAAAAATCAGATAATTTTCATCATCTTGTTGCAAAGAAAGGGGAAAAGTCTAGTTGGTTAATTTGCTTGTTGGTGTTATGCATACCATATTTTGAAGGTGACTGAACAAGGTCATTGAGAGGCTTATAAATATCAAAGATAACTAGCTTGAGACCAGGAAGTTGCTTTTGGAGATTTGCCGCTGCAGAGCTGATCTTTTTGTTAAATGCTTGTGCATCAGTATTCAGCCTTGAGACACATCCGTTCTCATGATATCCAAACAAAGTTCTTGCAGCAGGTAGGCAACCCAGTGGAGGGAGTGAAGTCACTCCAATTTTCCTAGCTCCCAATCCATACAATCCCTATGTTACAAAACAAAAGCAGTGAATCAGATAGATTCTTGGCAGAATCCATCTAGTAAAATAAGCACGCTGAAATTGCGCATAACTATGTCACAGATGAGTTACACTGGAAAGTACAACCAATACATAGCGACGGATCTGTTCTATTTGAGAATTTTGTTTTTGAATCACGTATATGGTAGAGAAAATGCAGCCAAAATACCTTGATAAAGCTTGTGAATGATCCCAGAAGGTATGAGCCATACTGATCTGGAGTGAAGGCTTTGTTGATCCAAGGACTGACATAGTAATTTTGCAAAAAGTCACTGCTTCCAGCACTCAATAAGTACAATGCACCCTTGATGATTGAAGCTGCCTTTTGACTGCCAGCAACCTTGTTCAACTTGCTTTGGTATTCCTTGAAGTAGTCTAATTGTTGAGACAATGGTATCGCATGCTGCCAGAACAAATAGTGAGTGAACAGTCTTTTTCTTAAGCCGTATTCAAATTCACTACTTCTTAACTTACACTCAGAACAGCAGCTTTCTCATCATAACCAGAGGCAGCTGAAGCAAAATTTGCTCCAATAAGAAGATTCTTCCCTGACGCCTGTGGGCTAAGATATGCAGGTGGATAACTCTTAAATCCCAAAGTTTCAGCTGCAAAAATTGGAAAAATTTTAACGAAGATTAAGCTTTCTTGTCTTTATTTTGTGGAAAATAAATATTTTCTGAATATCTCTGTTTTCCCATAAAAAAATGTCATTGGACCAAGAGATTAGCTCATGGAGAGCTTTGATGATGATGTTGACTCACGGTAAGTGAAAGTGACAATAACGAATTTCCTTATAAAGATTATTTTCCCCCTTCAAAACTCGGAGTAAAATTTAGGTTCAGAGAGAATTTGTATTCTGAAAAAAAGCAGCAGGAAAGCTTTTAACTGCGACTTTTTCCATTGGACTTACCTGTAATATCAGTAGCTAATTTTCCATTGCAAAACCTTCCAGTGGCTTGATGGTTGACAAAATCTCTTCCATAAGGAGGGTAATTTGCCTTGAAAAGAGTGGGCAAATAGTCATTATTCCCCACATCAACTGCAGAATCACCAAAGGTTATGATTGCAGGCACAAGTGTATCTTGTGCATTCGCTCTTGTCAGGAAGAAAAATGCTAAGAGTAGAACAAGTACTTCTCTGTGACTGGTATTCATCTTCCCAACTTTCTCTTGCTAGCAAGATGCTTCAATGGAGGGTCTCAACTGGCTAAGAGATCCTTATATGGCAGCTAAAAGAGAGCATTATTGAAGTGGGGAAGATGGAAGTTGAGAACGTCCATTAAATGCTTCATCAAACAGTGGTGTGGTTACGTTTGCATTAATGCCAAACGAGTTCTATTCAGTTGTAGTCCATAGCTTTGGTGTATTCTTGCATCCTCTTTCTGATATTATGGTCATTATTGCTCCTATACTTCTTTTTAGTGCCAAAGAAATCGACTTTACGGCTTAATTTAGTTCGTTATTTACTGTGGTGAAGCTGAGTAGTTGAAGATTTTGTGTTTGAAAGCTGGCATTGTAACCTTGGACTTGGTCATCACTCATCGCTCAGTCATCAGAGAGGCGCATGTGAGGAGTTATTTCGGTTGTTGCATATAGAAGCTGACTACTAGGGATCAGTTTGCGACAAGTTGGCATGAACTTATAAAGTGACAACTATTTTTGTTTGAATTTAAAATCATCATTAATATTCAAATAAATTACGCAGTATCATGATATTTGGCCCTATATATTACTACCGGTAAAAAGGTATAGTGATCTTAATACTTGATATCTATTTATTATTTTCCTAATTTGAAAATAAAAACAAATTTTACTTTTTAATTAACAAACTACTTTTTTTATATTTATCATTATTTAATAGAGTATTTTATTTAAAAATAAATATAAAATGATTCATTTATTAAGGACATTTAAAAAAACACATTAATTATATTTTAAAATATTAAAAATGTCCTATATTTTTTAAGCACTCAACCCCTAAAAATATGCTTTTGCATTTTTTGAATAAATCGGGTAAGAAAATATCCTATCCAATAATTTACTTTCTATCATTAAAATAACTATTTATATATTATGCATTTTCCCCTAGAAGAAATTAGTAAGGTGCCTTTATTATTATATTAGGAATGAATTTACAGTTTGAAGTTAAAACTTTATCACAATCTCATATTATATACTTCTTCTATTTAAAAATATAAAATATTTTAAATCAAATCTTACTCTCTAATAAATTAATTGTCTTTAAACTAATGTCACTTTTTCATATTTATTTTTATTTAATAAAGTATTTTATTTTAAAATAAATATAAAATGACCTATTTATTAAGAACACTTTAAAAAATACAATAATTATATTTTAAAATATTAAAAATATTTTATAATTTTTAATATTCAATTTATTAAAAAATATTTTATATTTTTTAAGGAAATAAAAACTATAAGGGTTTGAAAAATTACAGTACACAACCTAATATTTCACAGGAAACAGACAAAAGATTTAACTTACATCCACACGCGCATTGAATGTCACTGACAAAATGTAAACGGAAGAGAAGATCTTTTTCAACATTTATCGCTCATGGAAAAAGCCAAAAGACTTCTTTTTTTTTTTTTGAAAAAAAAGAGAGGAGTAGCAAGTAAAATTCAACCATAAAAAAAAGTTAATAAAATTTAATTTCTCCTATTTCTTTTGTTATGAAGTTTTGGAATTCCTATATAGAAGGAAAATATGAGAACCAATATTAACGCGAAGGATATCTTTGGATTTCCTGTAAAAAGAGGGTAAACATATTATTCCCTTTTTTTAAATACCAAGATCATTCTTTTTTCTGTATTCTCATCAGAATAATTTATGGGCTTTGTTGGAGACTTGTATTTTTTTTTCCCCCTGTATGATGATCTTAAGAAGTAAACTCTCCTATCCACAGCAACTAGATGAATTTAGAAGTTGTCTCAATTAACTTCCTCGATCTAACTGTCTTATTTTATTTATCACCAAAACCAGATATCCAGCCTTGATAGGAAATATAGCTTGTGGCTATTTTCAAACACACAAACTCTTTTTGTCTAGTCCGCAATATTCTCTTTCCATCTTGATGACCATTACCAGATTCACAAAACAAAAGGGACTCGACGAGAACTTAACTTCATGTGTCAGGTTAAGCTTGAACCCTCCAAAGTCTTTAAACAAAAGAAGTTGGGTAGATGTTACCATCAGCATTTACTGCTAACTAATGAACTTTACAGATATCAGATGGGACATAAAGTGTGAAGGTCTCTTTAATTTCATTTCAATTTCATATCACAGCAACTTCATGAACTGACATCATAAATATCCTCTTGAAACTAGTTTTGAATTTTAACCCCACAACATTTGAACACAACACCTACCTTGTGTTGTAATTGTTGTATAAATGTATTAAAAGGAGATGTCTCACATTATTTATACGAGGAGAGTTTTTAGTACATATATATATATATATATATATTAAGAAATGAAATAAGTTAGTAAATGAGTATGGAGGAGAAGTGGGTTTACGTGTACAAGATAGTTCTATGTAGGGACATTTTGAATGCGCATTAATAAGAGAATATTTTTTTGAATTAAAAGCCAAAACCAATTTCTTAAATGCTTTAATGTGCCACCAAACTCCCAAGTAAAATTGCATTATGTGGCTTTATGTTTCTAAAACTGCTCCTTAATTGCGTGTTGAGGCCAATTGGTAGTGTAGTTGCTTTGAGTCTATAAACTTATGAGTCTAGTGCTTGGCTCTTGAGCTTTCAAGCTGATTCTCTCCTCTTCTTTTGTATTGTGTTGTGCTATTTGAGCTAATTTCTATAAGCTTCTATTGTTTTGTAGTCTTGACTATTTTGTAGGATGATTTTGTTTAATTTTAAAGAGCTGTTGTATAAACAAATTGGTGCAGTAAAATAGTTCTTAAAGACTATATCTTTTGACCCAAGTTAGACTGAAAAACTGTCCACTATTATATGTACATAGAGAAGATGACTTTTGAGGGCATGTATTATAGGAAACTTGCTCCGTTTGGTCAACGCTAGCCATGATGACATATTTCGGAAGTAGTACAGGACATTAACATAAGAACCTATTTTGAGATGCTTTAGACCCTAAAATAATATGTATTGATGAGAAATCTAGGTGGGTTAGAGTTAGGTACATCTTATACATATTATTAATATATTGATATAGATTATTAATACACACACGCATGCACGTCGATACATCACCATATTTTTAGAGGCAGGGCCACATTTCATCCTTTAAGTTTCAGCCTACACTGTTCTGTTACGAGTTTGAAATCCTTTCTTGCAATCCATGTGCAATTAATATGAACATTTTGTTTGGCTTTTTTCGTATAGTTCTTGATAGCTAAACCCAATGAGATGAGAGGTGAGCATAAACACATTTTGAAACCATTTTCGAATGGAAATTTTTTTGTTAAATCATTAGCATATCCTTATATTGGAGTTAGCAGAGCTATGTATCTCTGATCTCTTTTGCATTATTAAAAGCTTGAAATTATGGTGGGAGATAGAGATAAGCAATCAACTTGATTATTGAAAGAGACCATAGCAAGAACCACCGATAGTCCTAAGATACAATTGATACGATGATGCTAACATTTCAATTTCACATCACAGCAACTGAACTGATTGTTAAGTTGGTTTTGACCCCACAGCATTTGAACACAACACCCACTTGCAGGGTAATTATTAGACAAAACAGAGCTCTGCTAAACAATAAATAGTAATAACGATGACTTGTAAAAGTAAAAAAAATATAGAAGATGATGACTTTTGAGTTCATGTTAGCATGTACATGGGTAATTTTGTTTGGTTTGGCCAAAACGAGACATGACACGTTTTGCAATTAGTATAGGACATTAACACACACGCGCGCGCACACACACACACTGCTTCTTGAGTTCTTGTTTAGAGATATGATCTAGACCCTACAATCTATCTTATGGGAAATTTGGGTGGATTAGAATTAGGTACTACATCTTATGCATTTATTATCAAGTTGTTCAACGAAAATATAAGATATACAGGTAACATATGTATTATGAGAGTAGCCACCATCGTATTTTCATCTTTTGAGTTTCAAGCTTTGCCTTTTCTGTTCGATCCGCGTTTGAAATCCTTTCTTGCAATCCATCTCTATTATTTGAACATGTTTTGTTTTTCCATGTATCTCTTGATAGCTATGCTGTACTCAAAGCTTCTACATTTAATAAGATATTTTTTTTTTATTATTTCCCCCATTTTATTAGTTGCTCCCTTTAAGAATTTTATTAAATGAGGCTCAATATTATGTTAAAGCCTCCAAAGACTAGCAACCAAGAGAAGGTAATTATTCTTTCACCATAATCATTTAAACAGGAGATGTATGTATAATTATCAGTTGGGAAACATGCAAATTGTAAGCAGAATTAAAAAGATAAAACAACTGAAAATTATATAAAAGTTAAAGAAAATAATAAAAGATAACACATGAAATTTTAACGAGGAAACACCCCAAATGTAGGCAACAAAAAACTCACGAGTAATGAATGGGAAATTTTACTATAAAAAATAAAAATAACATTAATTGTCTCTTCTATGAGGATAGAGATTGGTTGTTTATATATAGAGAGCTCTCATTAGCTAAAAATATTAACTTGACTAATAAATAATATCTCATAAAATCTCAATTATAAATATAATAGAGATATGACAGATTTTAAGCCAAAATAATATATATAAATAATCATAAAGGATTATCAATTAACAAACTCCTTGAAACTTATTATTTAGTAGCAATATAAGTATTATGACTACCTAATAGACAGAGTGGTCATTGATTCATGGTTCACAATATAATCATGTGAATTTCTTGTTACAGTGTTATCTATTCTCCCATGATACATCTCCAATGTAATACTTGCAATATGTCGCCGATGTCTAGTCTATGGGTTGATGTTGGTAAGGTGCATGACATTGCTACCTCAACAACTTTCTATGCCGATGTAATCCTAAATTCTCCAGCTATGCTTGAATCAACGATACCTTCAATTTTCCCACATTCAATTTTAGGTTGAACTCAATCAAGAATGAAATTATTATTCTTGATTCCTCTTTTTATTGGAGGTTGCCCAATTATTAGTTGAAGAAGAATCATCTCAAAACTATAAATGTCACTTTTTTTATTTAGATTTCCAAATCTTTGAAATCAACAAGATA